AATCTGCAGTATTGATTTGTACATGAGACTATTGACTGCATTGGTTTTATAATGCTTAAGTATTGATTAGTGGGCATCCAATGAAGGCAATGCCGCACTACTGCAGTGAGAGACCGATTGGGTCACACATATCGCCTGATATTTCGCGTAACGGATTGGCTCACTCGTCGGCACCTTTACTGTACGTATATCGATCCAAGGGATCACGCCATCGATGCCGTCATAAAGTCTGGCTTTGACTGGCTCATATAGTATTAGATAACAAGGTAGGTAGTTTTATTTATTGGAAATGTATTTTGACATTTTGAAAACATTTTTCATGTAAATAAAATCAGTTTTATATAAATTAATTTTAAAAATCAAAAATATTTTATAACATAATAATGTAAATGAACTGGACCAATGCTATTCAAAAACAACAACCCTAAGGAAAAGGAACATTTTTCTAGTAAATCATAAATAATTTAGCTAGTGAATATTGAGTGACTAGTACCTAGTATAAATATATTATAGTAGATGTTTGAATGTTATTTTATTAAAATAAAAATAAATTTGTTATATCAAGTTGAATTTATACAATTTGTGTAATAGTAATTGTATTACAGTTTATTGTGAATTACAAAAAAATTAAAACAATGTAATTAATAGGAGATAATTACTGCAACTTATAATTAAAAATTGGTAAAATTCATAGCTATTCATAGGAAACATATCCAGACAATAGTAGCCAATTGCGGGACCGGTGGACAGCCTTTCTATAAATGTTAATAATTTTAGTCTGGCCCTTACAGATAACACCTTGGTCTTGTTGATATACGACAACAATGGTTTATATGGTTTATGAGCCGCCTTTGGGATTAAGGTGCTAATCAGAGTAATAGCAAATATAATGCTACAACCAAATACAATGACTAATGTAGTACCCACCCTACCTAATAAAGTAGTATACGGTTTATGGACATAATAAACGCATAATTCAATACCAATAGACGTAATGTAATAAATAACAAAGATTACAAAATTGAGATTATAGTTTAGGTGCTTGGTCACATTTTGCCAGTAATCGTGTTCGTCGATCGCCCGGAATAGTAGGTCTGTATATCGGTATTTAATACACGCGACTATTTTATTGTGTATTTCCCAAAATTTGTACCTAGTATACATGGTGGAAAAGTATATAACTAGGAAACCAAAAAATACCAGGCCGTAAGTTTCCATCAAAATAATTAGATCACAAACTCCAATAAAAAGGATGGTTAATAGTTTTATGTAGCCGGGTGATTTATATAATTCTAGTAGCAAAGCACTTGACCCCATGATATAAGTACTAAAAACTAGCGCTAAATATACGTAAATTAGATAGTTTTGTACCAAGCTCAATATAACGCATAACCGTCCGGAGTCTTTTAGATTCAATGGATATTTTAAAATGCCATGCTTGATTTTATACGCAATGGTAACGAGGTAAAGCCTGCCGTTTAACTCATCATATAATAACTTATTTTCAACTAGGACATTGGATACCAATAGCAAGCAAATTAGTGTGCCGAATAGTAAACGGTTGCCAATGTAGTCGTCTAAATTAAATAGAAAGTCTTGGATACCCGGGTCATTAGCGTACGCACTTATAGCCATCCCAATTACGCCCCCTATCACAATCAGTCTGACCAAGACAAGTTTTATTAACCGCCGCGATGTATGATAACCGGTTAGTATATGGTCTATACTATCACCTAGTGTGACAAAGAGATATTTGAGGTAATATTCGTACTTGCTCACTTCAATACTAATATCGCCATGATTAGTATAATAATCGCTTAAAGTTTGCCGAAATTTAGCTTTAATTGCGTTCATAATTAATTAGGTTTTTATAAAATTATATGAAACACGACTTTGATGGAGCTCAAGGTATAAGTGTACATTCAAATAAGTCTGCAGTATTGATTTTGATATGAGACTATTGACTGAATTGGTTTTATAATGCTTAAGTATTGATTAGTGGGCATCCAATGAAGGCAATGCAGCACTACTGCAGTGAGAGACCGATTGGGTGCTCACATATCGCCTGATGTTTCGCGTAACGGATTGGCGCACTCGTCGGCACCTCTACTCTACGTATATATCGATCCAAGGGATCACGCCATCGATGCCGTGATACTACCCTGGATGCCAGTTTTTGTTTAAGCTCTATCTTGGCAATCACTATCGCTCTATAGTTCATTGAGCCTATGCGTTATAGTAATGGTATTGTGATGACACACTTGCGAACAAGGGTAAGCAAGGTGCTTATTAAACCGCAAACATCATAATAGAGCATGGTGATCAGCTTAAGGTAGCTTGGTGATTTGTAAAACTCTATTAGCAACACACCTGACGCAATGATAAAAGTATTAAAAACTAGCGTTAAATATAAGTAAATAAGGAAATATTTTCGTACCAAGCTCAATATAATGCTTAGTCGTCTAGAGTCCAATAGATTAAATGGGTATTTAAATGTGCCATGCTTGATTTTGTACCCAAATGTATTGATGAGCAGCTTGTCATGTAACTTATTGTACAAGAACCTAGTTTCAATTAGGATGGTTGATAGCATTATCAAGCATACAAGTGTGCCGGCTAATAAACGGTTGCCAAATTAGTCGCCAACATTAAAGAAAATGTCTTGGATACCCGGGTCATTCGCGTACGCAATTATAGCTACCACAATTACGCCGCCAACCATGATGATTCTGACCAGTATCAATTTTAACAATCGCCATGTCGTATAATACCCGCTTTTTATGTGGTCTATATTATCACCTAATGTGACAAATATGTATCTTAGGTAATATTCGTACTTGCTCACTTCAATACTAATATCGCCATTATTTGTATAATAATCACTTAAAGTTAGCCTAAGCTTACTGTTAATTGTGTTCATAATTAATTAGGTTTTATAAAAATATATGAACACAACTTTGATCGAGATCAAGATATTGATGTATCTCTATAAGTGTACATTCAAATAAATCTGCAATATTCATTTTTATAAGAGACTGTATACTGCACTGGTTTAATAATACTTAATGTTTCGTGTTTCATTTACTTAAACTATATTTGATTTTGATTTTATTCATAAATTGATTTTTGTTGAAATATTGTTTTTGTAATAAAGTTCAATGATATCAATACTAAGATATTTTCGCAATCCAGTACAGGTGAATACTATATGCAATTTATATACAATACTATACAGATGTATAAAAATATTGATCACTGATCAAGGTTAAAGCCGGGCATACCTTTAGACCCAAGGTTTTCGCAAACTGTAAAATGTATTTATTTCTTATATTAGTCTATCATTTATTAAATTAATTTTGTCTAATTGGGGATATTGATCTGGCTAATATAAGGGGTACCCGAATTTAATGCGCGTTTTATGGTTACATTTATTAAATTAATTATTAGAAATCTTCTACTTGGATTTATAAATCAATTAATATATCATTTTTAAGAGTTAATATCTGGCTTTAATTCTATATTTTTATTTTCTCACAATTACATTATTTAACCATGGTAATTCGTCATCAAAAACATACTATGACTAACCAAAAAGTGTCAGTAAAAATATAAATGGCCGCCATTTTTAAACCACATTAGCTAGAGTTGATCTGTAAACTGTATTTTAGTCTACAATTATTACTTAATAAAATGATGTGTATTTAACCCAGGTGCGATTGGAATTTATATAAATTTCTTATGATTCTCACTAAAGGTCAATAAATGAGTATAAAGGTCACAATATAGAAACGAGGTCAACTAGATATACTCCATTTGAAAGCCGACATATAGACCTTTCAAAAAAGCTATAACACATTATTATAGTGTGAGTG